TGTGGTGGTGTGGTGTGGTGGTGGTGAGGTGGTGTGGTGTGGTGTGGTGTGGTGTGGTGTGGTGGTGATGTGGTGGTGGTGTGATGGTGTGGTGTGGTGTGGTGGTGGTGGTGTGATGGTGTGATGTGGTGGTGTGATGGTGTGGTGTGGTGTGGTGGTGGTGGTGTGATGGTGTGATGTGGTGGTGTGATGGTGTGGTGTGGTGTGGTGGTGCTATGGTGGTGTGATGTTGGTGTGGTGGTGTGGTGGTGATGGTGTTGGTGGTGGCGTTAGAAACATCAAAACCCCCCCTTCTCTCGCCGCTAGGAGTCTCCCCGCCGTGACCGGCCCGCCGGACCTGCAGCTGAGCGAGGTGCGGTCCAACTCGCTGGCGGACCGCCACCTCTCGCTGGCGGTGCGGCGGCGGCTGGTGAAGAAGCAGCGGGCGCTGGTGCGCGAGAACCAGGGGCTGCTGGCGGCGGTGGTGCGCAGCCTGCGCACCGCGCACCTCGAGTGTCAGCACCACTTCCGCCACGAGCGCTGGAACTGCCCGCCGCCGCCGCCCGCCACCGCCAGGCGGCGGCACTTCTTCGGCAAGATCGCCACGCTGCGTGAGTAGCCGAGCTTGGATTGATTAGCATTAATTGACTTAAGTAACGACATTAATTAGCATTAATTGACTTAAGTAACGACATTAATTAGCATTAATTGACTTAAGAAACGACATTAACTGGCATAAATTGACTTAACGACATTAATATGCAGCCAAATTAGTTATAATAATTGCGATGATAATAATATCGCGACGCTGCGTAAGTAGCGAAGCTTGGCTTAAATAGCGATAATAATTAGCAGCCATTTAAGCACTATAATTTTAACAATGATTAGCAGTCAATCAGGCATTAAGATATTAATATTAATTAGCAGCCAATTAGGCATTAAGATATTAATAGTAATTAGCAGCCAATTAGGCATTGTAATATTAATATTAATTAGCAGTCAATCGAGCATTATAATATTGCTATTAATGAGGACGAGATTTTGTTGTTAATCAGCGCAGGTTTTTAGGAAAAGCGAACCAAACTGTAACTGAAAGCGGGAGGATATGTTGAGGGAAAAGTGAGGGTAAAATGTGAGGGGAAAGTCCGAGGGAAAATATGAGGGGAAAGTCCGAGGGAAAATGTGAGGGGAAAGTCCGAGGGAAAATATGAGGGGAAAGTCCTAGGGAAAATGTGAAGGGAAAGTCCTAGAAGGAAGTGTGAGTGGGTAAGAGCGGGGGGGGGTGTAAGCGCGAGGACATCATGTGAGGGGAAAGAGTGAGTGGGTAAGAGTGAGTATATAAAAGTATAAAAGTGAGGGGAAAGTGAAAGGGCATCATATTAGGGAAAGAAAGTTTTGGTAAGAGTGAGGGGAAAGAGTGAATGGGTAAAAGCGAAAGGAAAGTGTGAAGGAAATGTAAGGTAAAAGGGAGTGGGCAAGAGCGAGGGGAAAGTGTGAGGGCATCATGTGAATGGAAAGAGTGAATGGGCAACAGTGGTAATCAATGATAGAAGCACCGAGTAGATGAAAGGGGAAAAAGACGATGCACCGGACGTGCGAGGGTAAATGTGAGAAATAATACGAGGGTAAAAGAGAGGGAAGCACACGGACGAGCGTCAGGAAAGCTTTGAGTGTGTGAAGGAGTGAAGGGAAGTGCGATGGAACGTGAAAAAAAGAAGGGGGAAATTAGCAGAACGAATTATTCCCTTTCCCTTGCTTTCCCTTATCTCAATAGCTTCACTTTCCCTAGCCCTCACTATTCCTCTCCTCATTCCCCTCCCCTCATTTTCCTCCCCTCATTCCCCTCCC